ACAAACCTCACTACTCCGTCGACTACACAGAGACTCATCAACTTCCGGTAAATCTCTATTTCCCCTCTCTCTCTCTCTCTCTCCAGATCTGCGTAAATGCTTCTCCGTAGATGCAAATGATTGTTTATTTATTGATAATAAGATCTCATTACAATTTAATACTCTAATTCATTAATTATACAAAAAAAAAGATGTTTATGTTACTAAGTTTAACCAACACATCACATCACATCGTGTCTTCTTGATTGATCTCTCAGACAAGATTGGATCCATTGCGTTTCGATGTCTCGCTCCCAGAACGAGGAGTTTCAGCAATGGTGGAATAAACAACGAAACCGAGACAACCAAAACGACGACGAATCCTCCTTCCTAACCGTCGAAATCCGAACACCGGAAAACGTTGACCGAGACAAAGATCGGATCCGAACACGGACCATCCGCCAGCTCTCACGTCTCTACCTCCTCAAACTCAAACAACTCGCTTCCTCCTTCCTCTGGATCTTCCACTCCTTCCTCCACCTCCTCCGCACCGCCAACCGCCGCATTGCCAACGACAACCCTCCCTCCTCCACCTCCTCCGCGCGCCTCTACCGTCTGATCAAGGCCTTCTTGGTCCTCGTCGTCCTCCTCCTCTGTTTCGAGCTCGCCGCGTATTTCAAAGGATGGCATTTCACTCCTCCCTCGGTGGCCTCGGCCGAGGCGGCCGTGGAGGTGGCTTACGCTTGGTGGCTTGAGATTAGGGCGTCTTACTTGGCTCCACCGCTTCAGAGCTTGACTAATGTTTGCATTGTTCTCTTCTTGATTCAGTCTGTTGACCGTCTTGTCCTTGTGCTTGGTTGCTTTTGGATTAAGCTACGTCGTATTAAGCCTGTTGCTGCTATGGAGTATCCGGTTAAACCGGTTGGTGAGGGGGTTAGGTTGGAGGATTATCCTATGGTGCTTGTGCAGATTCCTATGTGTAATGAGAAAGAGGTAAGCACACACTTACCCTTAGTTGTATCTTCACTTAGCTGAATCAAGAATCAACCATTTTGAAGTTAGGGTTCGTTGCTATAGATACTAATTACTACTCCCTCGTTTTTATAAAGAATGTCACTTTGTCATTTTCCACACAGATTAAGAAAATGATTGAAATGCACTTATGTTTTTATTACTTACACATATTTAACCTATAGTAGTTGAGATATATAAAATTATTTCAGATAAATAAAGTTATTTATAGATGTATTTTGGAATTAATATTAAGCTTAAAGTAAAAGTATAAATTGCATTGGAACTCTAATATGGCACTTATTGTGGAAAAAAAATGTCTAAACTCGTTGATAGTATCCTAGTTCTTGCAGTTTATGATTTGTTAGCTTATCTGGTTGGTGGGACTTGTTGTAGGTTTACCAACAGTCTATTGGAGCGGTGTGTATGCTTGACTGGCCAAAAGAGAGAATGCTAATCCAGATTCTTGATGACTCAAGTGAGTTAGATGTTCAGGTGCTTATAAAAGCTGAAGTACAGAAATGGCAACAAAGGGGTATTCGGATAGTGTATAGACACCGTCTCATACGTACTGGTTACAAGGCTGGAAACCTCAAAGCTGCAATGAACTGTGAATACGTTAAAGATTACGAGTTTGTCGCCATATTTGATGCTGATTTCCAGCCACCAGCTGAGTTTCTGAAGAAAACAGTTCCTCATTTCAAGGTTTTCATTCACTTTTGATTGTTTGTTTGGCTTCATATAACCTTCAAGGCTTTTTCTTTGGCTCATATAAGCTGCAATGATATGTGTGTTTCTTCTTCCAGGGGAGAGATGATTTAGCCTTGGTCCAAACACGGTGGGCGTTTGTGAACAAAGACGAAAACTTGCTTACAAGACTACAGAACATAAACTTGTCTTTCCACTTTGAAGTCGAACAGCAGGTTAATGGTGTCTTTATTAACTTCTTTGGCTTTAATGGAACTGCTGGTGTTTGGAGAATCAAAGCTCTTGAAGATTGTGGTGGTTGGTTGGAGCGAACAACTGTTGAAGACATGGATATAGCTGTGCGTGCTCATCTTTGTGGATGGAAGTTCATCTATCTCAATGACGTAAAGGTACACTTGTGTTAACCAAAACTGATTAGAAGTTTCCTTTCATTCTCCAGCTCTTTAATCTCATCCATTTACACAGTGTCTCTGTGAGCTTCCGGAGTCTTATGAGGCATACAAAAAGCAGCAATACCGTTGGCATTCAGGTCCAATGCAATTGTTCCGTTTGTGTTTCATGGACATTCTTCGCTCAAAGGTGAGCTTGATGATTATATTGAGATTGTTTCAGAGTTTGGTCTGATCTTTCTTTTTCTTATTTTCTCTTCTTGCAGGTGAGTGTAGGGAAGAAAGCAAATATGATATTTCTCTTCTTCTTGCTAAGGAAGCTTATCTTACCATTCTACTCATTCACTCTCTTCTGCGTCATTCTTCCATTGACAATGTTCTTCCCAGAAGCTAACTTACCATCTTGGGTTGTTTGCTACATCCCCGGGATCATGTCCATCTTAAACATCATCCCAGCCCCAAGATCATTCCCTTTCATAGTCCCTTACCTCCTCTTTGAAAACACAATGTCGGTCACCAAGTTCGGAGCCATGATCTCCGGTTTGTTCAAGTTTGGGAGCTCTTATGAATGGGTAGTCACCAAAAAGCTAGGGAGATCCTCTGAAGCTGATCTGATTGCGTACGCAGAGTCAGGCTCTTTGGTTGACTCCACAAGCATCCAAAGATCTTCCTCTGACTCAGGTCTAACCGAGCTTAGCAAACTAGGATCAGCTAAGAAAGCAGGGAAGACCAAAAGAAATCGTCTGTACAGAACAGAGTTGGCACTTGCTTTCATCCTCTTGGCAGCCTCGGTGAGAAGCTTGTTGTCTGCACAAGGGATCCACTTCTACTTCCTCTTGTTCCAAGGACTCACTTTCGTGATTGTTGGTCTGGATTTGATTGGAGAACAGGTCAGTTAGTTTATATAAACAAACCCTTTCCTCGTTTTAAAACTACATTGCACCATACAACTTGAAGAACAGAAAAGAAGAGAGAAGCCAAGATCACCAATTCAGGAGGACGAACCAACTCAGATATGGGTTCTTGCTGGTCCTTTCTACATAAAAAAAAAAAGAAACAATTCATTTAAAAAGTTTTTTTTTGTTCTTTTGATACTCTTACCTGTGTTGGTTTAGATTATTCCTTGTTTTGATTACGGATAGTATTAGGGAAGTGGCAGAAAGAAAGGCTTTGATGATGACCTCTCTTTCTTGTGGTCTTAAGCCAAAGACTTGACTACCGATTTAGAGATTTGTTGTAATGCCACACTCAATTCTTTTGAGTAATTTGTTGTTGTTTCTTTCTCCAGGATTCATCTATACTTTCGAACTCAAGTATTTTTCTTGTTTTTTTTATTTGCCAATTTGGGGGGATCTGCCATTTTGTAGTTCGTTTGTACTAAATCAATTTTTTTGTTGATAATTTCTATCATATAAAAGTAGTAGAAATGGTGAAAAACCACGACTCAGAAAAATACAACTATTAGTATTTGGTTATATATTAATCTTTTAAAATCAATTTAGTAAATATGTGAAGAACACATGTATAATAAGTTTTTCAGTTACTTCTTTTACATTTTATACTTTTAAATTATTTTTATTTAATCAAGAGTAAAAAAACTCATGAGATTACTATTTAACCAAATTTGATCTAAAAGCATTTTCAATATATATCTTTATACATTCTTCTAAAATATAGATCTCTATTATAGAATTGATTTTGTATGACTTATAATAAATGCTTCTATTTTAAAAGAAAATATAGAAGATGCTACTTTTTATTTCTATATTTAAAGGTTAAAATAATATGTTTTGTATTTTCCCTACAAATATATGAACTTTATTATATAAGCATACACCGGAACAAATTAATCTTTATCATAAATTTTCTCTGTTATGAAAAATTTAGAGATAATTTTTTTTTTTTTTTGATTAGAGCATCTCCAACAGAAATCTTCAAGTGTAGTACTTAGGGAAAACAATAATTAAATAGTCAGTGAATTTTATAAAAATATTAAGGATTTGATCTTTAAAATCTTTAAATAAAGATTTTTTTTAGCGAATTTTTACACTATTTGCGCATCCCACAACACGTGGTGATCTGCAATTAATTGATATTTTTTTTAATCTGAAAAAATAATAATAATAATTAAAAAAATTAAAAATAATTTTTTTAAGCTCTTACAATACTGGATACGGTCTATTTACAACATTATTGATTTATATCTATTGGTTTTCAAAAAAAAAAGTTTTGATTTATATCTATTATTGTGGTGAACAGTGAGATGGAGAGAGCATAATGTCACGTCACATCGTTAAAGGTAAAGCATCAGAACGTTGCTTTTGTATGTTTTTCTGTCAACTATCATTGAAACATTTACTTCTTTATTAGTACAAGACGACCGTTAAGATTTGTCTAGAATTAAGACACAAATCAACAGTGTCTAGAATTAAGACATTCATATACTGATGATATACATAACCTTTTCATTACATCTCTTTATTATATGAATCAACATTAATACGTTTTTCAATGAACATTAAGCGAAAATTTGTTGAGAAATTTTCCTCATTCATTAACATTTGAGAGTTGAATTAAAATCATTCGATAACAGTTCATCATTTACTCATCTTGTTGATTACCCAAGTAGCAATTACTAATCAGCTAGGCTGAAAACAGGAGTTAAAACTTAAAACATGATTCTGACAGAGTAACAGTCTTTTTAATTAACGTTAAACCTCACAGTTCCACTTAATATCAACCATTAAGACTCAAAAAGAAGTATTCATAGGGCCCTTTTTGAATAATCAGCTCATGCATCATGTAAATACAATACATTGTATTAATACATCTGCATACAAACTTAATCAATATAGTACATTGTATTATCAATTAAATTTAATCCTCATACTAGTTTTTTTTTGTTGTTGTGGGGAACATCCGAACATGTAAACCCTATACAATAAATATCTCCACTCTTCAGTCTTCTCTCGTAAGTCTTACATCTCTACATTGCTTCAGACAAGAAGGAGAAGAAGAGTTATCAGCTAACGTCATGAGTGTTCTACATCTCCTTGCTTTCTCTCTGCTCGTATCCGTTTCAGGTATAACCTCTCAAAAACCCCTCCACTAATCCATTAAACATCTCATTTACTAATTTCTTTGCCTCTGTCTTGTCCACAGTAGCAAAGTTCTCAGGCCGACCAGGAATCAACTACGGACAGCTAGGAAACAACCTCCCATCTCCCTCCGACTCAGTCAAACTCATCCAATCCCTAAACGCCAAACGCGTCAAACTCTACGACGCAAACCCAACCATCCTCGCCGCCTTAAACGCCACCGACATCACCGTCTCCGTCATGATCCCCAACGAACTCATCATCAACATCTCAAAATCCCAACCCCTCTCCGACGAGTGGATCCGCTCAAACATCCTCCCGTTTCACCCCTCCACCAAGATCCGTTACCTCCTCGTCGGCAACGAGATCCTCTCCTCCGCCGACTCCGAGCTCAAATCCTCTCTCGTCCCCGCAATGCGCAAGATCCAACGCTCTTTAAAAAAACTCGGCGTCAAGAAAGTCAAAGTGGGGACCACACTCGCCGTCGACGTTCTCAAAACCTCGTTCCCTCCTTCTCACGGCGAGTTCCGTCCCGACATCTCCGGTTCGGTTATCAAACCGATGCTCAAATTCTTAAACCGGACCAAATCGTTTCTATTCATCGACGTCTACCCGTATTTCCCCTGGGCCCAAGATCCGGCCCATGTAGATCTCAGTTACGCGCTTTTCGAATCCACCAACGTAACCGTAACTGATCCCGCCACGAACCTAACTTACAACAACCTCTTCGACCAAATGATCGACGCTTTCGTCTTCGCCACGTCACGCCTCGGCTACCCGGATCTTCGGATCTGGGTCGCCGAGACGGGCTGGCCCAACGACGGAGACTACGACCAAATCGGAGCGAACATCCACAACGCCGCGACATACAACCGCAACGTCGTCAAGAAACTCTCCGCCGTGCCTCCGGTGGGAACTCCGGCGAGGCCCGGGAAGGTTCTCCCGTCGTTTATCTTCGCCTTGTTCAACGAGAATCAGAAAACGGGTCCGGGTACGGAGCGGCATTTCGGACTCTTGCATCCGAACGGGACTCGGGTTTACGAGATTGAGTTGTCGGGGGAGACGACGGAGTACAGGGAGACGTTGCCGGCGCCGGAGAATAATGAGGTGTACAGAGGGAAGATATGGTGCGTGGTGGCTAAAGGAGCGAATTGGACTCAGCTTGGTGAGGCTCTATCGTATGTTTGCTCACAGGGGAATAATACTTGCGACCCGATTAGATCCGGAGGTCCGTGTTATAAACCGGATTTGGCTGTATTGCATGCTAGCTACGCGTTTAGCTCCTATTGGGCTAGGTTTCGTGAGACCGGTGGGACTTGCTCGTTTAATGGACTTGCTACTCAAACCATTAAAGATCCGAGTAAGTCATGTTTATTTGGTTCACTAATTTCAGGATGTTTAAACCGGATTGGTTTACAGAAATTGTCTACTCTATTATTGTTTGACCAGGCTTTGGACGTTGCGAGTTTCCGAGCGTGACATTGTGACGGCTTACGAGATACGACAGTGTCGAGAAGAGAGAAGACCATAGGAATAGGAGAAAAGACCGCAGGATGTTACGGCTTGATTACTAGAAACGGCACGTGATTACGGTCCAGTGTGTTTCAATGTGTTGTTTATTTAATTTGTTCCCGCGGGAATAATAAAGACTCATGAGTAGAAATAAATTTGTCTTGTCTGGTAACGTAACCGATTCTTTACGTCTAATAAAAATTTGTTTTTATCAGATTTTGTTGTTGATTACTATACGTCAGCTTGATTCTGGAAATTAATTTAAGAATATCCTGCGGCTAGTTTTCCTCCTATTGGTTATTTGGTTGTGGTTTCTAATATACGTGTAAAGACAGATCCTTGTCGTTTCCATGCAAGACCTTGTTTTTAAGCAAATTAGCAAAGATTTACTTAACATGGATTAGTGGTGACGACAATATACATTTTCAAAATTGTAATCACAGAGAATCTGATGCCACGATGATTCTCTAGGGAATTTGATTCCGTAACACTTTTCACTTTGCAATAAAAAGTCAACCCGTGAACTTTTGCGTCTTTGCTTTCACTTTTGCAAAAGATGAGAGTATTTGTATTTGTAAGTGGCTTATAAATTCACAACTTCATATAACGAGACAAAAGAAATAACACACCCAGAATAAATCTAAACTCGAAGTTATAATACAACTTCAAAAACAACAAAAATAACAAGGTACAAAACGAACAATATGTGAAGAAAATTAAGCACGAGTTCATACTCAACATTATATTTAACATTGATACGCTTGAGGTCTGCAGAGCACTCTGATCACTGACTCTGAAGTATTTGCTATAATTCGATTACGTTCCACCAAACCTTGTTTTTTTTTTTATAACCGAATGTCTTGGTCCCACCATGTGGTCCAAATTAGAGACCGATCATTGCGTGGACGCACACCCCCAATGGTGAATACTAACTAAGTGAGCACGATTTTCCGTCTCAAGTGCTGGAGAATCCGCATGTAACATTGATACGCTAATTAAATCGAACATAGCTTTCGTAGATCTTACATTAGTCACTGTCTCCTAGTTCTACACCTGAATCCATCGTTTCTAGTTAGCAAGGCCGGATCGAGACAAAACCTAGTAAAACATTGGATTTAGTACTCACAATTTTTGAAGATTATATATATAGTCATCATAACCATCGTTAGTGTCCATTTAACTCAGCTGTGACATTTTTATTGCCTTCTAGTTCTACTCTATTATATTGTTAGGTATCAAGGCCATCTATTAGCAAAAAAATTGGTAGCTTGAGGTCTGCAGAGCACTCTGATCACTCACTCTGAAGTGTTTGCTATAATTCGATTACGTTCCACCAAACCTTGTTAGCCTCTTTATAACCGATACGTAAGTCTCGTTTACATATCCTTTGTTTCTAGTAGTTACTATATTCTTAGACTGGTTCATTTCATGGTGTTTCGTTGTTTTTTGCTTAGGCTGATGATGGTAGTTCTGTTTTGGTTAACAGGGGAGGACACAACCCATCTTACATGCACCGACTTATACCCTCTGCTCATTTGGTGATGTAGCCAGGGGCGAAATTATTGTGGGCATATGAAAGAACAACAAATACGGGGTACACTAAACGAGTTTTTCCATAATTATTTAGCTATTTCATGTAATTTTTCCCTTACAAATCATGAAATTACAAAAGAAAATAAGTGGGTGCATGTGCAGCCAGTCTTGCCTCTCTAGCTTCACTCCTGGATGAGGGAATAATGGACTAGCTTTTGGGTCGCTTGACCACGCAACATTCACTTGGTCGGCCATTTACAATAGGATATATATGTACATTGAACAAAAGAGTTGCTTAAGGGTAGTGATTAGTGAATGAGAAAAAAAAAACATTTTTGCGTCTGTGGAAATTGGTCAGGAACAATGTGTTTTTTTTTTCAGTGTGCTGGGCCTTACAAGAGTTACTACCGAGGATGGACATCTTATTAATTAAAGTTCTGTTTGCTATTAAAGTTTGTAAAGCAGTCTTTTAAGTCATGTCGGGAAACCGTACAAGTCTTAGTGATTTAAGAGGTTCCAAAAGAGATAAAGAGTCTGCACGTAAGCTGATCTCAAATGGAGTTGTACTTGTACAGAAACTTAAAGTGTTTCCTTACGTTGACTGTCTTATGGATTGGAGATAAAAAAAAGTGAAGACTTGTCAAACAGTCAAAGTCAAAATTGCGCTAAGATAAGTAACTATAATAAATGATAATGGGCTTGGCCCAAATAGTACTCAAAATCCCGAAAAGCCCTTTCTTGTTTTTTCTCATTATAAATACCATTTTGCCATGTTCAGACCAAAGTTTCTTTCTTGGTCGGGGTTTTTAGAGAGAGAAAGAGAGAGAGAGTCTTCTTTGTCTTCAAGAAAGAGAGAAACTCATATATACAAATAAAACCCACAATTCAAAAAAAAAAGAGAGAGAACATTACAGATATATACAGAAAGAGAAGGTATATAAATATACCCATATGCTAACACATGGAGATTTAGAGAGAGAGAGAGAGGAGAGAGAGATATTATATCTCACTTTCTTCGGTGTTCATCTTCTCTCTCTCTCCTCTGAGATCTTCCATCTTCCAATCGCTCTCAATCTTGTATATGATTTTCCGATAAAACATAAAAAAAAAGTTTTCAAAATAACAAACTTGATTTTCTATGAGCTGAAAAACCTTTAATCCAAATTGAAATTACGTGTTTTTTTTTGTCAAATCTCTTCCACGAAGTTTTTTGAAATTTGATCCGCCAGCTAATTGAGCTAAATTACGGTTTTTTTTGCTATCTGGGTTTACACAAAATCTCGTCTTTCTTACTTGAACCTGCGCTAATTGCACTTTGCAATCTTCGGGTGCTGCTGATTTTTTGGTCCGATTGGTTTTTAATTTTTAGGGTTTGATTGGATCGCACCCTTGATTTTTGACCCTAATTTAAAGTCTTTTATTTTTAATACTATTAGGATCGTCCCTTGGGAGATTAAACACTTGGGATCGAATTGGGTTTCTTAACGAGGAGGCCAACTTGTTGGCGGCTGCTTGCCCCTAAAGGTGTGCTTTGAGCTGTTTCGTATCTTTAAATCCTAAAACTGATTAATTTTCAGCTCTTTACGAATGCAAATGAAATCAACTTCTGCTGCTGGCTTTGGCAGTTTAGCTGCAGATCTTGGGGTTCCACGGAATAAATTGCTTACTTTAGTGCATTTAAGAACCTGTCAAGACAAGACAGGAGGATTCAAGTGCCTGAATTGCCTTTTGGGTGATTGTTATTGATATGATGAGATAAAAGGGTGGAGAAAGTAACAAGAGTGGTTCAAAGTAGAGACCACTTTACGGTTAACTTGAGGAGGGGGGAAAAAGTGCCATGTCTCGTTGCTTCCCGTTTCCACCTCCAGGATATGAGAAGAAGATTAGCACCGATGAAGCATCAGATTCTTTGTTAAAGGTTACCATATAACAACTCATAGGATCTACTCTCCTTTGAAATCGTTGTATGCGTGATTATGTTGGAGTGTGACTTGAGTACTTAAGTAACATATGCTTTAGTTTCTGATGAAGAAAACTTAGCATATCACTAGACTAGATTCTTATGAATACTTTTATATAATGGAGGAGAATGGTGAATGGACGAGTTCGTGGGATCTTTGATGTTGTTTTTAACAACATATGGATCATGTAAATTGTTGGAGTAAGGAAGGAACATATAGTCTGGTTCAGAATTTTTAGTACATTGCAGGTGTTGTAGAATCCTTGACTAGCTTAGATTGCTGAGGTGCTGGCATAGTAAAGTGAATGTGTTGTTGATGATTGTGGATGTTAGATAAGTGGTATGTAGTTTAATGTCAAATCTAGAATTTTTAATATCTCTAGAGTCTTGTGGCAATCATGGATCATACACTATGAGAATAATTATCTAGTAATAGTAACTTGTGTAGCATCTTTAGAAGCTTAAGCATTAGGGTAAGGCTAACAATGAATCAGACTAGGTACCTATTGGAACGAACTAATACTCTGTATACCTATCTTTTATTCATCTAGCTGTCTTTTTCTCCTGGGATTGAAACTACAGGAAAAACAAAAGAAGGAAAAGAAGCACAAAAAGGATAAGGAAAGGAAAGAAGGGAAAGAGAAAAAAGATAAAGAAACAAGCAAAGACAAACACAAGGACCGGAAGGAGAAAAAGGAGAAACATAAAGACAAGAAAAACAAAGATCGGGACAAAGGAAAGAGCAGAACAACTTCGGAGGACAGAAAAGCTGTTGTTGGTGTTCTGCAGAACACAGGGGACAAGGAAAAGGTTGTAACAAATACTGTACTGAATAATGGTAATGGAGAGTCTAAGTTTATACAGGATTTGGCAAGGAGGATCAGAGATGAAGAAGAAGCTACAGAGAGTAAAAGTGTGGGAAAGATTAGTATTCCCAATGGAGTCAGAGAGAACAACAACCCAATATCACAAAACAACCATAAGAAAGTTGATGAAAAGAGAAGCTACGCCATGGAAAGAAGGTCTGAAAATGGGGTTCTTCGAGTATCATCCAGCAGTGATAAGAAAGGACCAGATTTTATGGTTAAATCATCGGAGAAAAAGGAGCAGGGGAAGAAAAAGGAACTGCAAGAGAAGAAGAATCATTCCAGCGATAGTGTTACGAAGAGTGATAACAAAAATGGACTAAAATACACAGCAAACAGAAAAAGTGAAGAGGAGAAAACAGAAGCTGTAAACAAAATTGGTCATGACAAACCAAAATATGGAGAGGGATGGCCTAGGTTAAAAGACATAGATGTAGTAGATACTAGGAATTTTAGAGCGCATGACAGCAAAAATCTTACCGCGGAGGGAGTTCTTGGCAAGCGGAAGGATCTTGAGACAAATGGATTCTTGCATGGTGAGTCTTTCTCTGATCCATTTCTTTTTAATAATGGCAATTGATATATTTATATTGGTGTGTGTTTTCCAGCATGCTGTTTATTTAGTAATTGGTTTCTCTTGGTATATTCATTTTGCACTTTGTATTTATATTAGAAGACTCATTTTTCTGTCTTTGTTTTCCTGCAATGTGATTGAATATGTTTTATTTGTTATGCTCTCTTAGCATGAGTTTTTTTAATTGTTATGCAGAGAATGGATCTAGGCCGAACAAGATACAGAGGCCAGCTGCTTCTCCAGTAACGTCCGTGGAAAACGGAAGAAAGTTGGGAGCATGCCAAACTCTTCCTAAACCTGTTACTGAGTTGCAAGGACCAGTGTGTAATCCAGTGGCCAAGGAGCATAGAATTAACGGTTTCATTGGTTCTCAAGAACCTAAAAGCCGTCCAACGACTTCTTCTGTAAAAGCGAAAGAAAACAGCGAAGCATCAGCAAAGAAGCGGCCTCATCCAGACTTGAAGTATTTGGATCTGATACTGAATGTACCTCAAAGGGAGGAGTTGCATGAGGTTGGTGAAAATGAGGAACAAGAGTGGCTATTTGGTCATTCTGAGAAATTATTAAAGAAGCCAAAAACAGATTTTACTACTGCTTCATTGGATGAGTCTCTGCAAGTCTGGAACCAGGCTCTTAGATTAGAATCTACTGATACTGTAGCTCTTCCATACGTGGTCCCATTCTAGTTTGATGACATTCTGGTGTTTATTTACTTCAACCGAGGAGGAAGATCCTCCCTCAGTTCTCATTACTCGGTTTAGCAGCCCAATGACAGGTTGATGTAATTGGAGATGTTGAGGTATGACTGAGTTTGTCTTCATGAGAAGAGATAGGCTTCCCTACAAGAACACGTCAAGTTTATGTAGGTGTTAGAGTAAGGTCTTTTTCGAGAGTGTGATTGTTGGAAATGAGATTTTCAGACTGTTGCTTCAGTTTTGATTCTGCTGTGTCATCATTAGTTGATGGGATTAGCATTAAGTTGTATATTAGAGGGGATATAGAATATGGGGGGAGAGATCTTATAATTTACCCACTAATACATTACATTTACACTGGTTTCCCTTCTTCTTGGAATCAAAATCATTCTTGGAATCCAAACAAATCTTCATCTTCATTGTTTACTGATTGCTTTTCTTTTGAAAGTGAGACACTTAAGCATTGTCCATGTTTTCCTCACATGGCCCATACTTCCCAATTCTAGTAAAGCAGTGTGCGGGGACACCTTGTTATAGCATGTGACTCAGTTGACCCATGTAAATTTACGGAAATAAAAAGTACACGTACATTTCTTTGCAAAACTGGAAAATAGTGTAAAATCTAGTTAAATGACCCCTATAATATATGTTAGTTATGAATTGATCTTCTTGATAAATTTTTCCTAGCTCCAACATTTGGCTACCAAAATAGAATAACTGTTCGTTTCCATAACCCCACACTACAGAATTCAATATTCTTAAAAGCTTTTTCTATTGAAATTATCATGAGAATAAAGTTAACATCATGGATCCCATAGACTCATTTTTTTAAAAAAACACAGCAACTGAAGGTCTAACTGGTTCAAATGCAACGGTTGTGGTCGTTGGAGTTTGTGAATGCGGATGGTTGTGGTTTTAAGATATTTGTACGACTGGTAGTGCAATTACAAATTGGTGCATTCGCGATATATTTATAAATGGTTAACTACTAAATGTAGTAGTGGTTAAAATATAAATTAACAATATTTATATTTTGTATAATTATAAGAAATAGCAAAAAATCCTAATACTATAACAATATAAAAAAATATACTTATAAAGTTATTTAAATTTTTAAACTTATTGATTTTTTTTAAAAAAAATTTTAGTAATATTAATTAAAATATAATAAATATATTTTAGTACTTTTATAATTTCAATTTAAAAATTTATTGAATATTTTTATTTTTGTATGTATATTGGTAATTTTTTTAAAAAAAATTACCCTCCCGCAACCGCTTGCAATTACAAAAGCTAATTAAAATCATCTTTTGAATTTAAAAAAATTAAGAAATTTAGAACAGTTTAAAGTGGTTCAAAACAGTTTGAATAATTATTGTAAAATGTTAACAACCGCAAAAATGCGTTTGTGGGTAATAGCAGAAAAACCAATCATGCCTTAAATACCATAAAGCCTAAACACAATATTCTGAAACCACGTTATCCACCTAAACTAGCCCATTCAAAGACTTAGAGAGCCAAGCCCAATCGGAATATATCAACAAAACACCCCAACCGTTTCTTGATAAAACGATAATACAGTACATATAAGTATTTGTTAATATAGAACCATAGGTATAACTCGTTACTAGTACTTTTCAATGATAAAATCAACGAATCTTCATTTTCACTTTCCAGATGGTACTCATGCACAAGGAAGGCAGCTATGAACTTTCTTTCAATAAAGCAACTTCGCCAAAACTGTACCACGATTAGAAGGAAGACACGTGACATCTAACCATCACTTTGTTATTTACAACAATTTGCAATTCTACAACGTGCTACCTAACCCAGCAGAAACGAAACACGTGGACACACATCCAGCACATCAGATGAGAAGAGCCGCAAAGCAACGGCGCCTCCGCTGAGCTGGACCGTCTAATCTATTCTTACATTATCTTTACCTTTCAGCTCAAGATTGTAGGACCATCTTTAACGGATGCTCTCCACGTGTAAGCGTAAGAGTCGAGTTGGTGTTCGGGATTGGCGGAGACGCAAGAAAATGAAAAACGAACGTGTCTTTGTCAATGCCAGCAGATTCCTAGTGAACACGTGTCGGATTCATGTTTCACGTGTTACACTTGTCGGCTCGGTGTGCTCTTCCGCAGGTTTTTAAACCAATAGATAAATAGAAATAAGAATGGAAAAGCCTTTTATCGGTAATCCGAGATTATAGCGCTAATAAAGTTTAACAGACTAATAATTATTCATACGTGTAAATTGAAAACCGCCCATGTCCACTATCCTTGTTACCCACGTGTCAAGTTATACGTTACATGGTTCTTAAATATCAAAAACAAAATATCCCATGGCATAAATATCGATAAAGAAACCATATCTTTTCTTTCTTTCAACGTTACATGGTTCTTGAAACTTTATCAATGGAAACAAAGCTTAGAGAAGAGGAGGATGTTGAGGTTGAGCTTGAGCTATGTCTTTCTCTGGGAGGTCCTTTCAAGAAAGCAGACAAAACTCAACCGATAGAATGTTGTCCGGACGGTAATTCTATCGCCGTCAGATGCGTTAACGGCGAGGTCAAAGAGACGAGGAAGAAACGGGAAGCAAAGGAGCAGCAGAGAAGCGGAGGAGAAGGAGAGTGCAAGAAAATCAGAACAGGATGTAAAGAAGTTATTAACGGCGTGGATTTGGGTTTGGACTTTGGTGATTTGGGTAACGGGTACGGGTCGGGTCAATATAAGGAGAACAGTAAAGGCGTTACAAACGGGTCACCCATTTGCAGCACGTCCGACGTTTCCGATCCAAGCAGCTCTCCCTGCCAAGAAGGTACGTAACATTTTAATATATTCTTTTTTATCTTCGGTACGGATTATTATAGCTTGCTAAAAGTGTTAATTTCCAGAATTAGTCTATAAACTACAAAGATTATTAAAAAAAAATCTACTAATATACTTGATGATAATTGATATTCATAAACTTTTTTTTTCTATTTCATAACACCTCTTTTATAGTAGTATATTGAAGTATTATAATAGTTTATATATGTTATTGAAGAATCACGAAAGTTATGGTATTTGCATGAAAATAATTTGGAGCTACGGTTGTCCTCTGATGTTCAGGTGGAAGCTGCGAACTTGGTGTAAATTCTAACCAAACCAAACCGGTTAATTCTCCGGTTATTAACACTCTAACCAGTAAAGAGGAAACTGCGTGGAGCATGGACGGTCCAAATGATGAGGTGGTATTGGAGACGCAAGAATATTCCAACTCTGTAGCCAAAGAAACTGGAAAGCCTCCAAAACCTCGTCCAAACACCAACGGAGTTAAGGGCAGTTTGCTTCCGTTTGTTCAGATGCCGTGCGTGACTAGCACCGGTAACGGACCTAACGGCAAAACTGTAAATGGGTTTCTTTATCGGTACTCAAAATCAGAGATCAGTATAATATGTGTCTGTCACGGAACATCATTCTCGCCTGCTGAGTTCATCATACATGCTGGTGGGACCAATGTCTCGCATCCCTTGAGACATATAACTGTTGTTCCGTCAACGTTTTAAAAACACTTTTGTTTTTCTGTTGTTGATACCTTACGTTTTGTTTGTGTATATGTTTAATTAGCTAATGGTTTTCTTTGAGTTTAAAGGGACTCGTGATCTAGTTTCTGACAGCCATCTTTCAACTAATTTGTATCTCATCAAACTATGGCTTCGAATGGGTGATCCGGATCAAAAAATGCAGATCAAATAAGAATGCAGATCATGCAGAACAAATGCAGATAAAGCAGAACAAATGCAGATCAAACATATCATGCTAATTTAATAAATTAATAAATAAATGATAAAAAAATTTAATGAAAAATAAATATCTAAACAAAATAGAAATTATTATAAATAAGTAATAAATATAAAGTTGACAAAAAAGCAATAAATATCATCATTTTTATAAATATAATGAAAATGTAAATTAGATTAAAATTTATCACAATTAAAAAAATTATACAGAGTATTCTTATTTTATTTTATTTTCATATCTTTATTTATTTTTTCGTTTCTTTCTTACCATTTCATTCATCTATAAAACTAACACTATCTATTATATATATATATATTATGTATCAACTAACTTATTAAACGAAACGCTAGACATTTTAAATTTACGTATGGAGTTGGGTTCAATTATTCGGGTTAGAATGTTTACAATCCGTTTAGGAACCAAACACTTTTAGAATAGATTAGTTAAATAATTAATGTCGGATTCATCATATTTTTTAAACCCAAAACATAGCCGAATTAAAAATATTTTGATTTATTTCGAGTTTAAAGCAAAAAAAAAACCCAAAAATCTGAGTTAAAACCCTATAATCCTAAAAATATCCATGTTAAGTCGAATTTGTATTTTATTATATTTTTGATATTCAGGTATCTTATAAATTATAGAAACTTTAAAACTAAAATAATAGTATTTTATTATATTTTGGATATTCAGGTATTTATTCAATTTTGATTCAATTTTTTTTTTCAGATTAAAAAATATTATCCGTTCAGGTTTTGTATATTTTGGTCTTGTTTCAGTTTCATTTTTTTGCTTTTATTCCAGTTGATTATTTAGTATAGTTATATATTTTATAGCATACTAAAATAAAGTGTAAAATATTTTTTACAGAAAATTATTTTAAATTTATGAATATATCAAGTAATATATATATATATATATATATATATATATATATATATATATATATGTGTGTGTGTGTGTGTGTGTGTGTTTTAACATATTACAGAATTTTTGGTTAGTAAAAAAATAATTGAAGTTAGGTGAAGTATTTGTAGAGAAAAGAAAAAGAAAAAGAAAAAAACACCCATTGGATCTCTACTTTTGACCTGCTTCTTTTTGCTGTATTTGCAGTACAAATTTTTTTACATGTAAAGTGATCTGTAAGCAGATTAAACTGCAATCTATTTGTTCTGCATATTAATCCTGAATGGAAGAAAAATACAGATAGAACTGCACTTAATATCTCCTGCATTTTTTCTGCATTTATACTGCATGACATTCATACCCTATAATCTCTAGCGGAAACATGATCTTTATGATATGATTCTAGTCATGAGAAGTCAATTTACCGCAAATGGTATAATAACCTGGAACTTGTCTAAGTAACATATCAATTTATACTTTCATATCATGTCTTCATCTGCTAAAACAAACTATCATCATACTAAATCTTATGGTTGTTTATACAATCGTTTCTATGTAAATCTTATAGGGTGAATTTGCTGAATATACCAAAAAAAGAAGTTATTTAGGAATTTGCCTTAGTTTAGGGGGAAAAAATAATAATGGGGGGAGGAGAGAGAAGGGGGAAATAGGGTATGAAGCTAAATAGGAGGTTTTGTGTGTATATGGAGTGCAAATACTCAATCTTATAATCAAAGCCACAAGTATGAAACATTTAGAATCAGTGAACTGGAATTTGGAGGACATTCTAGTCAAGTGTTACTTTGTGTGTTTGGTGTATTGGATTTCTGTAATTTGACATATAAGGAGCTGGGTATGTATGATCAATACATAAATAATGAGTTGCAAAGGAAAGAACACTAAAATTTCAACCATTTAAAACTAAAATTCTTCTTAGAACAAAAACGTTACATGAACAAGATAATAATAACAAAGGATAGATCTATTCATTCATGACAGGTTTGTTGTCGCTGGCTTTAGGCTTCTGGTCTCTTGGTCTATCCTCGACTCTCCTAATTTTCATAACACAGAGACGATAAGTGAAACAAACATTAACATCACTAAACTGATTAAAAAATAATAATCTTCAAATCCAGAAATAAACATTGCTCATCTTATTTTGTGATCAGACAAAAGAAAGAGAGAAAAAGTGTTTGTACCTTGTGTCGGAAGTTCCTTTTTGGCTCAGGAAGGGTCTGAAGAGAACAGAGTTGACGTCATAAATCATTGTTGCTATTCAAATCTTTAGTTGCTGTATATATGAGATGGCTGCAAAAGAAATGACGACAACCCTAGAAAGTCCCCAAGTTCAACCCATAGTGAACTTGAAACGTTGTGGTCATTCTCTTTCGGTGGGCCCAACTCAGCCCATATGTTTCTTTCCATTTACGTATGTTTCTCTGGCTTTTCTCTCTTTTCAAATATGGTAGGTATTAGCGGAAGGAAAGATTAGCGAGAAAAGCTTAAGCAGCCCCACATTATACACTCAATTCGTGGGACCTATACAGACCAGTGAAAGAGCCAAACACCTTCATAGAAAGAGAGACATCTCTGTTTAAAATTTTGACGTCTAGCATTCTTGTACAATTAATTTGATTTCAATTCTTGTGCAAACGTTGAAGATAGCGCAACAAATAGAAAACATACAGTCTGCACATATTTACTTCCATACGCAAGTATTTTCTTGAGAATCAATACACAGAGATAAACTACACAACCAAAACACACTACTAGATTTAGTAATGATTAATTACTCCAACGTTGTTCACAACAAAATCACTCCTTTTGTTACAAAAAATAGAAAGAAAGAATAAATAACACACAAAAGACAAAGAGATGTGTCCAAGAATATGTACATTTGTCTTCAGTATTTACTTTCCCTTCCGAGACCATGGGAAGCAGCAGACCTGCGCATACTCTTTCACATAAACACACATGATATGTAATGATATGGATGTCAAAATAGTTGTGTGTTGAATACACAATATATATTACCTTGGAGGAGTTCGGGGAGGTAGATTCATGTTGACCGTTGATGGGGCGAGATGGAGTGTTGTCACCTGTCCCACCGTAGGATCTGGCACCTTCTCGCCTCTCTTCCTTGACTTTGTCGAATATGTGTGTGTAACTCATGTTCTCCCCTGAACCCACTGACCCTGGAAATGGTGGAATCGTTGTCCCTCCTCCCTAACATATATAATGGTTCACAAATCATTTAATTGTAATAAACAAATATTCATTAACATCCCTTATCTTGGACTCTATAATATGACTCTTCAAACACCAATGACAAGAAACTCAAGAAGTTTCTATATTATGATATGATAACATGTTTACTCTCAAAACGTAAACAATAATGCAAGATTCAAATTAACAGATATGTATTTTGTTTAAAATGTGGTCTTGATTAAGAAAACTCGTTCATTATATAATGTGTAAAAATGCAAACAAACAATAGAGGGATAATATTGCATACTCTTCCGTTGCTGCCGCCTCTAGGATTGGGCCTAGGCGGTGCCTGTGCAGGACGAGGAGGAGTTTGCGTTTGCCGGTTTCCTGAACCGCCTCCACCAACATAACCTCCGTATAATCCTCCTCCATCTCTGCCTCCTCCGTAGAGATTATCAGCAGGAGGAGCTCTGACTTTGTTTCGGATCTCTGTTGGTGGAGGAGCTCTTGGCGTGCCCTCCCTAGCCGGTTTTGGTGGTTCAGGTCGTGGAATTCTAGGAGCAGGTTGAGGTGGAGTTTGGATATCTGAGTTCTCTAAAGATCCGTACAAGTCTGCTCGTTTTGTCCTCGCGTTATCGAACACGACCGTGAATGGCTGCTCTTGGTTGCTCCAGTCCCCAAACTTTGGAACATGCGGACGGTTCTGCTATCAATCATTCAAGAATTAGTTAGCTTCTGAGAATTTAATCCAAAGGGTTTTGAGTTTTAGACTGACATAAAACATCATACTTGATGTGCAAGAAACCAATATACTAAACAAAACTCTAAGAGCTAGCTTCCCATTACGTACTAGAACATGTAGAAAACAGAAGAAGAACTAATACGAAAGTCAACTGAAGATTCCGACAAACTTTAAGGTTTTGCTAACCATGTGATGATTTGAGATGAAAACAAAGGAGATAAAACATTTAAAGTGTTGATGATACAAAAGAGTTTTGCAAACTTACTGCCATGTTTCTTGATCTACCGCTAGAAATGAAGAAAGGCTTCAACTATGGATATGTCTGAAACAAAGATACGTGTTGAGAGAGAGAGAGAGATTAGAGATACGCAAATGTGTATATATAAACATATAAAGGCGTTGACTATTCGTATTATATTGTCTTCTTACTCTGTAAAGTTTGAATGTCTCCGTTGCGTCTCTCACGGTCAACAGCGACTTGTTCAAAACCTTACGACACGACTTGGTATCAACCGCGTCTTCTCTAAACTGCTACACACGCTTTTCACAGTTTCTTTTGCCAGAGTCTCATTTACATATGGTCTTTTCTCCCATCAGGTTTACTTGCCATGCTAAACAATTAACATATCACACTTTTGTTGTATCTTAAGAAAATGTTTAATGGCAAGTGCACTATTATGTACTTATTAACAGTTGTGATTCTCGTGAATATTGTTGAAGGCTCATCACATAATGAATTCGGTAACAAGAAGAAATGCGGTTGGAAAAAGCCGAATCGGAGAGGAGATATATTTACAAACACACGACAAAAGAACTTTGGTTTTATAGCTTTATATTGTCTTTGTAATCAATTGCAAACCTTCTAATAAACATCTTTCAAATAATTCACCATCAAATTTGTGTGTTTCATCTCAAATATGTTGAATTTATATTCAATCAATATATCTGAAAGTATATTATCGTTTGAAATAATTAGTTCTGAATATTTAAATCCAAAATATTTTATAATTAACTCAGGCAAGCAAATTATATGATGGATGAGAAAAAAAAAAGTACCAACTCATGTGAAGGAGGTCGTGCAAGTGCAACTGGCCATTATTTTCTCTGTTTGACAGCTTATCTAGTTTGTTTCTAGATATTTTTGTTAATTACTCAATTGCCGGCGTCATCAACTGTCAAATAAACAATTTTGTTAGCATGTAGAATATTGTAAAACAATTTGTCTCGTATTAGTTAATTTTGGCGTCTCTTGGTTAATTAGCTGTTGAATGGGCAACATAACATGGTTACACAGCTGCATTATATGGATGGTTACAGCTGAGATATATGGTTATACTAATTAACACAAGACATATTATATATACTCAATCGTGGGTGTATAATAAGATAAGTTGTCTCACCAGGGAACGAAGACTTCAACGACTGTCTATTAATCCAACTTGTATATAGCACCAAATTTAATATATTTTGACTTTATCAATCAGTCCAATAGTCCACTTGTGTATTTTCTTTTTGTATATTGAAATAGTGGATATAGATAGTAGTAATATTGTTACACATTCTAAACATTTTTAACATGATTAATAGTATTCCTAGAGTCTTAAGAAATCCATCCTAATAGTATTCCTTGCACAATGTTAAAATTTCTATGTAATTTTTTTTAATAAATTTGTATAGTCCACTTTAAGAAAATACTGAAAATCCAAATTTACTGGTACATAAGTCATAAAGGTCTCACATTTTTGTTTAGTACTCAACGAGTGTTCGATTCCACTCGTTGACTAGTCGCAGTAGCTTTATATCTGTAATCAGTTAACACAACTATCAACTAGATTTGAATCCGCACATCCGTGCGGGTAATTTTTCATTTTATAAAAATATAACAAAATCTTTCAGATATATCATTTACATTTTATTTTTATATTGTATAACTATAGAATCTTATTATTTTAATTATTTTATATAATATATTGTTGTCATTTTTTAAAAATATCAAATATATTTTTTTAGATAATGTATTTGTTGTGAATTATAAAAATATATGTCAACTTTTTTTGTATAAAAATATTACATGATTTAAAAAAATTAATATGTTTTAACAGTGAATAAAAGAAAATTTTAAAATAAAATATTTTTCTTTACCAATTTAATAAATTTTTATATTAATTTCACATAGCATTTTATTTTAATATAATATAGAAAATCATTAAATTATAAAATATACCAATTTTTATTTTTAATTATTAATATATATATATATATTAATCACGAAATTAAATAATATATANTTAACTTTCTTGGTAAGATCTTGTTAGATATTTTCTCAACAGATTTTGTTATAAATGAAATTAAAGATAACTTTATAGTTATATATTATTAAAATATTTCTTCAGTAATATATATTTGGTTGATTAATATAAATAATCAAATATGTTATATTAATGAAATAGTCCAATATGACTTTTTGTAGTAGATATAAATGGTATTAAAAGAAGATGATTTAACAGCTAAATTCGCCAGAAGTAAATAGTTTTAGAGAGCTCCACAATTGCGTCTTCTTCGTTTAATCATTTACCGATCTGGTTTTTGCTTTACAACTCCAAAAGATTGTTTCTTGCCCCCAAGAGACAGACATCAAAGACGAGAATTTCGATAGAAAAGTCACAAACTTTACTATTTTGTATTTGGTTGTAATCAGACATGATTCAGCTACTGTTCTTGGTTCTGTTTGTAGAAGGTGCTACTACCTTCTTACTACTGGTGAAGATTGGTCCTTTAAGGGAGCTTGTAATGAAGAGCTTAGACCAGCTTAAAATGGGTAAAGGTCCAGCTACTGTGAAAACCATCGCTGGAACCATGTCTGTGATCCTATTCTCGAATCTCATGAATATCATCAAGATTCAGAACAAGGGAGCTAAACTTGGGACAATGTCTCCTATGGATCAGGTCTTATGGAGAACTCACCTGCTTGAGGCTTCCCTAATTGGTTAGTTTTTTTCTTCCCTTTTGCTTGAATAAATCTTAATGTAGATACTGAGTTCTTGCTCTTAGCTTAGGTATTAGCATTGGCTTGTAAAAGAAAGTTGAAGTCTTTTTATGTTTTCTTGCAGGTGTTGTGTTGTTTCTTGGCTTCGTTATTGACAGGACACATCATTATCTCCAAAAGCTAATCACTTTGAGAAGCAATGCCGGGTCATCTAAAGGAGAATTAGAACAACTTAGGAAGGAGAGAACTGAACTAAAGGAGAAAGAAGAGAAGACAGCCAAGGAGATTAAGCAGCTGAAAGAGAAACTGTCATGTGTTGCAGAGAATCTGAAGAAAGTTGAGAAGGAAGCGAAAGAGAAAGAAATGAAGCTGGAAACTGTTGAAGGACGTGTTTCATCTCTGCAAATGCAGTCTTCAGAGCTCTTGTTGGAGTATGATAGGTTGTTAGAAGACAACCAGACTCTACAAAACCATATGGTTGGAAAATGAAAAACCCTGAACTGATATATAAAGTTTTTTAGAATGTTTGTAAGTGAAGGGCTGTTAATAGTTATTGCAGAAATGGTGTTTGGAGTGAGTTCTTGTAACATTTCTTGGTACCCATTGATGATGTCTCTAAAATGGTGGATTTATGAATTATAACATCAGCAAAAAGGCATCTAATCAATGAACTTTCTGAAAAAGTTGTAATTTGAGCATAAGTAGGGAAAAAAAAGTTAAGATACGCCGTCTGTGGGGATCGAACCCACGGCCACGGGATTAAAAGTCACGCGCTCTACCACTGAGCTAAGACGGCTATTGAACATCTATTTCGAATTTATATATAAAATGTCAATGGAAGCAATGGAATTGTGTGTTGTATGTACCTTGTGGCATCTTAAACTCTGAGGAAACCGATGAAGGAAGCCTCCACTGTCTGAACCAGACACTTCCCAAATCATGCCGGAGTTTGATTCTCAGACAAAGCGTTCTTCCAAACCTGGCTTGAAGCGCATCTTCATTACCACCACTGTACTCTTTTTATTCGTCTTAG